TTGTGAGTTTGTAGCCACCATTCGATTCGGCCGCATTCCAGCTGCTAATTTGAACGTATTAAAACATCGTGTATTGATGTTAGAAAGAGATAGTGACGTTAGATGTTTGTTCTTTTCATTCAATATTTGTTTGAGACCATCCATCTGAGGCTGGACGTTTTTTGTGGGATATAAACGCCTTATTGGAGTATAAATTTTGCTTTTAATGTTTGTGTTTTAGATAGAAATTGTATGAACTCTTTCACATATCGTGTGCGTGACAATATCATATGTTAAAAGCTTGTTAGAATACTTTAAATTGCTATGAATTTAAGACATTGTTATTTCAATTAAGGACGATATACGTAATTGCTCCTTCACTAATTAGCGTTCATTATGTTGCCTACAATGTTTGTAGCTCTGTGTCTATTATAAATTTTTAAAGTAAATAAATTTAACTTGTGAATTTTAAAAAGTGTAAGAGAGAAGGGATAGATAATTCAGCAAAAATGTAATATTCCAGTATTAAGGGATTGGTATTTTAAATTGCAAACTTCAGAGTTATGTGTAGTACATTATACCAAGTTTATTTATTCATTTTGATAGCCAGAATTTGCAGCCGAGACTAATCATTATTCTAAAAATGTAATGAATCTTAATGATTCATAGTGTCCGCGTGAACATTACTTAGTTCATTATTTAACAAATGACACATCCCTTATCAATGTAGGAAGCCGAAATCTAATCTGTGATCGTTAGGTCCAGCGACATTCCATCTCTAAACAATGAAAATCATAAACAATGAGACATTAAGATATCATCATTCTTTGAAACAGTGACTAAATACATATTTTTGTTTTTCAGCCAGGAACATTGGTCTTCGTTTGTTTATAATTTAACTCTTAATATTGTTTGTTGTTTAATGTTGTGATTATCCCATTGTTTTTGACGTCATGTTGACTACGATAAAACCATTATCAGAAGCAATTACTTAATCCTGGAATGTCTATAAATCCACATTTCAAAGTAGGGTTAAACGTAGCTTTAAAATGTATTAAATTATATTATTGTACACACTGCAAAGTCGCCATGTTTAGACATTTAGCAAGAGAATGTTTGACGGCGGCGCAATACCGAGCGAAGGGCAACGCGCGCCGCGACGCGACCTTTGTAGCACTACACCGACATTTGAACATTATGGATCTATTATAAGTTGGCTGTTATGACTAGAACAATGCTGAGCAATAACTTTGCGTTTTGTTCACTATGTTTTTTGTTATGAAATTGCAATGGAAGTTTACTATCCGCTATGGTGTTTGGATCAGTCTTTGTCGTACTTGCAGTAACTTTTGTCAACGGTTTTATGTATTATTCCAGATAATACTATAGTAACATCAATAGTTTCTTCCTTCAACTAGTTAGTGGAGACAGAATTATTGAATTTAGAAATAAAAGACAAAGTTCAATAGATAATAATACGATTCATTTATATTAGGTACATCTATAACAATACTTTTAACAGTCTTAAAACAAACGACTTAGTGAGATAGGTTGCGGTTAACGCCATATCTACAATATTTACATGAGGTAAGCTACGCACAAGTTAGCGAGGTGAAGCCGCGATGAATAGGATTGGGGGGGTTGTGGTGCACTGCGCAAGAGGCGGAGCCGCGCGCCACAGCCTCGAAGAATTGCCGCAGATCGCTGACGGAGCGCGTCGGCGGAGCTTGC